CCGTCCCCGCCCCCGCGACGTACCTCCTAATGGCTGCCATTAACGTTACGTGGGCTCCCGGTGCGGGATGTGTATGTGTGTGTGGGGGGGGTGTGTGTCTTCCCTCAGGGAGAGCGCGGTGTCGGTACAGACGGACCCCGCCGGTGCGAACCGACCCCACCGCTGCGGGCAGCCCCCGCCGGTGCGAAGCGACCCCCGCCGGTGCGGAGACCCGCGGGGCTGGATGCCGTTTCACCCAGGGGGTGCGGGGGGCGAGGCACCGGCAGCGGACACTGCAGCCCCCTCCCGCGGTTTTGGGGTGGGTGTGTGGCTGTGTCACAGGCGACAGCCACCACCGTCGAGGTCCCGCCGCGCGGCGGGAGCCCCGGGGACACGGCCCCCAACGGCCGGGGCGGGGCCGGGCCGGGCCGGGCTGGGCTGGGCCGCCCTCCTCAGAAGGAGGGGGAAAGCGCCGCCACCTGCCCCCGTCAGGGCCGGCCCGCCCTCGTGGTTATTTAGAGGAGCGTTGCGGCCGGGTGTCGCTTGCAGCCGGTGCCGGGCAGCGGCCTCCTAGCGCCATGAGCGGTGGCGGTATCGAGAACCCGGTGTTTGAGCCGCCCAGCCCCGACCTCGGCCGCCGGCGCCGGGCGAGCCCCGCGGGGGTAGACGGCGGCGTCCCCGCCGAGGCTGAGGAGGGGCCCTGCGGGTGGGGCCGCTGTGCCCCAAAGGCTCTGCAGCTCTGCAACAACCCTGAGGGCTACCTGGCTGCCTACAGCCTGCTGGCTATCTTCCAAGGTAACCCGTCCCCGCCACCTTGTCCGGAGCCACAGGCCTGCAGCCCTCTTCTCCACCTTCCCCCTGGGACCTGGCCCTTGCAGGCCGCCCGCTGCCCCGGGCACGGCTTGCTGCCCATCCTGGAGCTGAAGGGGAAGCCAGGCGGGAGCCTGAGCTGGGGAAGGCCGGAGGAGAGTGGTGGTGATCTGCGTGGTGGGTGAGGGGAGGTGAGGTTCCTCCAGCCGCCTAAGTCTGGTGCTGTTGCTGGAAAAGTGACAGTGAGTGGCTTCACTAGAGGAAGAAGGTACCTGAGCGATGGGGAAGTTGCTCATACAGTATTACTCTCTGTATCTCACTCTGTTCCTCCTTCTCCTCCCTCCTTCTTGAGCGCTGCTGAGTCTGTGGTCCCATCAGCTTGATGCTTCACGCTGTTGTCTACGCTGTGCCCCCGTTGCTCACAGGGGAGTAGCCTTCCATGCGTGCCTCACGGGTTGAGGCATCTGAGCCAGGGAATAAAACGCAGGGTATAAACCAACAGACAAAGCTGTAGTGTCCTCAAACGTGTTTTGTTATCTGCCTGACAATGGTTGGGTGGGACTTCAGGAAATTAAGATGGCTTTGAAAAATACCTGGTTTTCTTTGTGGATCGTAGTGCAGCTTTCTAACGCTTAGCTAATGGCTGAACGTAACCTTGAGGGGAACGTGAAGTTTAGTTTGCTCTTAATTGTTGTTGTTCAGCTTCAGATATTCTTGTCCATATTTTTGGCTTTCTGTAACAAGATTTGTTAGGGCTTTGGCAAGCCTTGGGCTTAGAAAGTACTAATAATGGCTGAGGGAGAGGGGAAATTAGGGTATCAAATGGACGAACTTGAGGTTTGTAATGCTTATATATTTGTCAAACTGAGATACCGGATTAATGTTCAGAACCCTTCAACTCTACTGGACTAGCTAGAAAAGCAAACTGTTTCCTGAAAAATTATGAGGCTGTGAAGCTCATCCTTGTGGCTCCTGAAGAATGAGACTGCTGTAGAGTGGTAGAGGGAGATGCAGGAGAAGAGTTTCAGTGCTGAAAGAGCACCAGCCTGTGCTGAAGACATGTGGGATACGGGTGGCTGCGTCCTTGCCTGGAACCACACTGAGGTAGTTGGGGTGGTCTGAGGAGAACTGAGCAGGAGGTTCTGCTTAAAGCCTAGAAGGATCTGACTGCTGCTTGTGTTGCTTGAAAAATCCTTAGAAGAACCAATGTCTCTCAGTATGTGTTTCTGTGAACTCTTTCGGATGTCAACCTGTTTAGAATCTGATCTTTTCTTAGCATAGAGATACTGTGTTAGAAAAGAAGTATCAAAAGAGTTCTGGGTGAGCCTGTTGTTTCTTGCTTGTTTTTGAAAGGCTGTGCTACAGCTGGTAGGGCCGGGGGGTGATTACTGTTGTGGTTGTCCTGCTGTTGGCTCAAATTTATTTTCCCTAATGTAGTAAAAAGCAAGGGAGGGATGCAAGAACTTCTTGCGTAGCAGATTTCAATGGCAACCAAGTTGTAGAAAACTTTTAGATCCTGCATGTGTGCTTTTGTAGCTTAAGAATGCAGATAGGCAAATCTGATTCAGGGCAAATGCCCTGAATGTGACACTGAAAACTTTCAGACTATATTACACTAAACAAAGTGTCTCGACTATTTCCATCACTTCTGACTTTGCTGTAGCAATGTTTCTTAAAATCCAGTTTGCTGTGCTGATCTAATAGTCTGCTCAGCTGAATAATGAATTCAGTATCATTTAAATTTTATCTCTTAGTTGTAGTGTAGATAGGTTCCCAGTCAAAAAGCTCTTGTATCATAAGAAACTTTGTCCCCTTAGGATGTTATGGGTGTTGGTTATGCCACTTATCTAGGTCTTGGTCCTGTTATCTCACTGGAGATGTGTGCCAGACCTCAGAGAGGTACCTATCTAATCTAGTTCAGATTTAGGTCCTTAATGTAAGAAAACTTCTGATGCTTGTTTTGAAAGCTGATGTAGGCATGGCTATTGTAGACCTTGTGGCACTCTTAATGTGTTATTTGGATTTTCTGAATAAGTACCTTTCATTTGACTAGATTGTAGAAAGGAAATTGGGGACTGAAGACTCGAGTTGCAACCCTCTTTAAGAAGCAGAAAAAACAAGAATCTTTTTCAGACAAGAAATTCAATGCTGCATGTGAGGCTGTGAAAATATTCAGGTCTTGCATCTTCAGAACTTAGATAAAAGCACACAAAACACAACTGCGGTTTTGAAGTTATGTGGGCTACTACTGTACTTCAGCTTTGGATCCAATTATTTAATTTACCCTCCAAATCTAAGAAACCATCAATGCAGAAGATAAAATATGTCTGTAAAACTTGCAAATGGTAATGAATCTCTGGAAAAGTTTATTTCCTAATGCACTGAAGAGCAGTGAAGTAATCCTTAACAACCTTTTGCTGAATCCTTAACAAACTTTTGATGTTGTGCTGTAAAGGAGGGAACATAGTAGGTAGTCATCTGCAGTGACCTGGTACATGTGTGTAGATTTTTGTATGTGTGTCTAACTGAAGGCATGTATTTACTGGGTGATTTTCTGGCTGCCCTAGGGAAGAGGTGGTTGTTATCATTAGCACCTGATTGCTGTATTTCAGCTTCTCCAAAGATTCCAAGTGAAACTTAACTCTTCATTTCTGACTGTTTCTATTTCATGCAAAACCTGTATTTCCGGAATTGAAAACACTTTTTTTTTTTTGCTTAGAACATGGTTACATGACTAATACCTGCATTCTGTGTGGCACTTGGAGTTGCATAAAATTATGATTGCATTTTGTAATACAGTAACAAGATATACTGCCCTTTTGTATCTGTAGTAGCAAACAAGATAGAAGATATCTCACTATTTTGACTACAAGAAGTACAGTTTATTCCACATGTCAGTAATAATTTTCTTAACTGGTGGTTCTGTTGTTTTGTTTAAGACTAGTTCAGTCTGAGCTGTCTGAGAAGTTTGGATAGCAATAATATTTTATACTCTGAGATTTGTTAGTGGAAGGATTTTTTAATTATTATTTTTTCTTTTTTAAATTGTGTCTGCAAACCACTGCTTTAGAGCCACCATACTTAAAACAACTGTAGAGCACCTTTTTTTTTTTTAGTTGGTGAAAGAAAAGTACTCTGTTTTTCATTAGAGCAAATGAAGTTGGTTTATGATTAATCTGGATTTTGTGGGTCAGTACACACAGTACCTAAAATTCTAACAGATGTGGCAGGACTAAAAGGTTTTGGATGAGAATAGTTAAAAAATAATTTCTATACTACAGTTTAAGAGTTGGGATGGCCTTGTGGGATTTGTGTTTCAGATCAAGTTAGTATCAGCCAGGTTCCACTGTTCTTGAAGAGACTGATTAATCACTACATGATTGCATTGGAGAAGTTATGTTGCCATTCATCAGATATACATTTTTACAGATGCAGTTAATTTGACTGAATAATTAGATTTCAAGGTTTTATGGCTTTTAGGATGTAAATTAAAGGTGGCAACTTAAACCACAGTAAAGATGGTGTCTTCTAGTTCTGTAATCAAGTTGCTACATAGCACACATAATTCCTGTGAAAGTTTAAGGCCTTAGTAAATGTTTCAAGTGCTAGCAAATGGGAAACACTTGTTTGTTCATTCCTTCATGCTAGTATTGTTCTCTGGTCAATACTCAGTTAAGAAGAAATGAAGAAAGCTGCCAAATGTATAAATAATAGCAGTAGAGGAACACCTGAATACTTCTGTTAATCCCATGTGAATTTAAGTGTGGTGGTTATAGTGAGAGCTGAAATTGGCATCCTTAATGAAGTGGCTGTAGTAGGGTATTAGAAAACTAAGGTTGTGCTAAGAACTGCCTCCTTACAGAAAGCTGAAGTGTTTAGTTATGGTGGGGATTGCACTGATAAGAAAACAGCTGGCTGATGAGAGATTTGGAGTAATTTTTTTTTAATAAGTAGGGCACTTTAGGCAGATCTGTTGATGTTCAGCCTGTGCAGTTGCACTTCTGGATGGTGCAGTTCTTGTTAAAGGCTAACTTAAATCCATTTCTGTCACCAGTCATCTGTCCCTCTGGCCTGTTTTTTGAATGACAGTGGAGAATCGTGTTTGAATTTTAGAAAGAGTAACTGTAACTGTAGGGCCTGTGTCATGAGAGATGCTCATCAGTCATCTCTGAGTTTACAGAACTCTTAATCTTGTTTGCAGCTGTGACTTCAAGACTTCCTAACTTTTTTCCAGGGTCAATATTTTATTACAGGCACAGTTTAATTAGGCTACCATGAAGTTATCTGACACTGTTATGAAGTATAGCTAATCATCTCACTTGTAATGGAATCCTGTTTTGGGACTGCTGGAAGTAAACTGCTCTAAGTTTAACTACTTGATGTTTCACGTACAAACAGATGGCAGGATGGGAGATTCAAGTTAGTGTCTACAGACAACGTTTCTGTAAAAATGGGCAGTGTGTATAAGCGTGCAATGGCAGCTTACTTGCTTCTGCTTTTGGATGAGTTTTCTGGAGTTTGCCTGTGC